TAAAATCAAGTTTTTGTTATCATTTAAGAAATTTCAGGAACAGTTAAATCCTTTATTTTATAATTACTTTCTAAGCCAATTTTATAGTTACTTTCAAAATCTTACTTTTTTTTCCCTCTTATTTGGGCCACTTAAAAAACTGAAATACCTGTTATTTATTTATTTATTTATTTATTTATTTATTTATTTATTTATGCATTAGATATTGTGCCGGGCATCATGAGGGCACTTTTAAGAATGTGGAACCCATCTGATGTTTCTACTGTCCTTGTGACTGTCCTCATCCAGGGATCAACAGGACACCGAAAGGGAAGACAATAGAACAACCAACCCGGGAAGGCACATCTGTTGCTAAGCTGGCCACCTTCTCCAGTATACTTCCTCTTGTGACTGAAGCTCCACTTAGAACAAATTTGGCACGCAGAAGGAGCCATGCACAGGCTGTTCTGTGTTGCTAAGATGGGTTTTGGGAACCTTGCAAAAAAGGGACCAGAGTTTCTGGTTGCAGGGCCAGAGTGGAAATCATCCACACAGCAGAAGAAGAAGCTCTGGAGGTCGCCTCTGCTTAGGTCGATCTTGGTAACTTATGCTCTACAGCAGGTGAGTTTGAGGTGGACACACTGAATCACTATGGGGATCAAAGGGAGGCATTGCTCATGACCACGCAGGGAAAGCAGGCTCTCACTCAGCAGTTGAGCCTTGGCCCCAAATGATCTTGCTATTTTGTCCCCTCTGAAATTTTATATTTTGAATCTATTCCTAATGATTAAGAACATTTAAGGCAAGTTTTTCATTTAAATGAAAATATGACAAAAAAAATAACTTTCACTTATGTAATGTTTCTATAATTTGTGCCAGATGCTATTCTAGGTGATTTACACAGATTGTCTTGTTTAATCCTCAACACAGCAGATGACAGATGGGGAAGTAGAAGTACAGGGAAGGCTGTAGCTTTCCCAGGCACATGGTGAGTGAAGGAGAGGCTGGTTTTGAGAGGACAGGCTTCTGCTGCTTTCTGCCCTCAGTGATTATACCATACAGTATCAGATATGAATCTATTAGCCCTAATTGAATGCACTAAAATCAGTTAATGATGTTTCTGATTATAAAAATAAACCTAATAGGGTCTAGTTTATTATTACAACAGCAGTAATTCATTCATCTATTTAGCTAATTTCTACTGAGCTCCTGTTTTACACTTTTCACCATCTGAGGCCTACATAGTGTAAGATAGGAAGGACCCTTGACTTTGTAGATCATCTTGTCCGTTTGGGAACACAGAGGTAAAAATGAGTAATTTACAGACGAGTGTACAGATTTGACAGGGCAGAGGATCTAACCACATCTATGCAAAAGAGAGGACCTCCTTGAAGAGGTGGAGAGGGTGAGAAGGTCCTGAGGCAGAGGGAATGAGGACAGGGTCTAGGTGCATACAGCCAGGTACTGGAGCGGTGTTAGGCCAGAGAATACAAGCTGGAGCCTGAAGAGATCAGCTGAGTGTGCAGAAATAGCAGGAATGAGGCTGAAGAGCCACTCAGACCAGATCCTGGACAGTCATGGCTATAGCTGGGTTCAAAAGTTTCCCTTTTACCTGAAGGGCAAAGAAAACTTATTATATAAGGAAGATTTAAAGCTAGAAAGTATCATAACTAGATTTGCATTTTAGAAAAAAATATGATGGGTACTATGTGGAGAATAGATCGAAAGTTTATGTGTCAAAATCTGGAGATGGGAAGGCCAGATAGGAGGCAGTCCGATCTAGGGAACTTGTAGAGAATGAAAGAAATGGACAGAAATGTGTAAGAGGCAGAGTCAACAGGACACAGTGATTGACTGGATGTGAGGGTGAGAGGTGAAATGACAGGCATTTCTTGCTGTAGTCCTGGCAAGGGGGCCTGTGGCATTTCCTCAGAGGCAAAGGCTAGAAAGGTGCATAGGTTGCAGTGGAGAGGTGAGGACAATGGCGTTTCCCTGTGTGTGTTGGGTTTTAGATGCCTCTGGACCATATAAATGAACTTGCTGAAACAATGCCTATAATGAATATCAGATGCTCAGAAATATTGCTGAGTTGAATGAAGTGCAGGAGACAGTGGGTTATATGTACAGGTTTAGAGTTCAAAGTTAGACTTGCAGAGATACAGATAAAGATTCATAAAATTTTAGCATAGAGTTTAGAATCAGAGCCAAGGTGACACTGAGATGTGGTGTGTGAAGAGTAAGAAGGGCGGAAAGCCTGGGACTGGACCTTGGGTAGTGGCAACTTTCAATAAATGGACAGAGGAAGAGGATGCTGGAGACAAGATGGACCAGGAGTAGCCAAGGAAGTGGGAGGAATATCATGAGAGCTGTGTCACTGAAGTCCAGGAGATAGTTTATCTTCAGAGGCCAGACTGTCAAATGTCTCAAGCAGACCAAATGGCATCAGGACTGAAGGAGATCTTTTGGGTTTAGAAATGAGGAAGTCCTCAGTGACTGGGAACACTGGAAAGTGAAGAGGGCTGAAGCCAGATGGGAGTGGGCTACAGAATCCACGAAGGTTGAGAAAATGGAGATAGCAAAATGTGGACAACTACTGTGTAAGAGAACATTGGGAGCTGATGGAAGACACAACAGAGGTGATGAAGCAACCTTATCCTCTTCCCTCCCATTTCTTTTCCTGAATAATTCAATCCTGAAGCTACTGGTGGTGCAGAGCTAGAGAGATGTATACATGGAGGTCTGGCCAAGGAGGGATGTTGGAGCCCCGCCCGGTGAGGGCTTTGTCCGGGACAACTTTTCAATCCTTCTGTGTGTAACCTATCGCCCACCACCACTGCTGGCATCCCCTGTCTGTGGATGCTCTCCTCACATCCTGTCCCGGGCTCCTTCCACACATGGATGTGCTGTTCTCCTGACCCAGGCTCTGACAGCCACATTGAGTGTGCCCAAACTCTTTTACACTACTCACACCCACAGATGCCCTTTTTATTCTGAGTTCCTATGCCCATAGCAAGTTTTCCCCCATGTGAACCCCACTCATTCTCTGGGGCTCTGAGGCCCCTTTCCAAGCCACTTCTCACTGTGGACAAGCATCCTCACCCTGTCCACCCTGGGACACTTGTCCCAGGCTAGCCCCACCCAAGGATGCCTTCTCCCACCAGTTTAACCTTTCCCTTGTGTGGTCAACTCATCCCTCCCGGTGGTGGGCTCCAACATCCTACAATGGACCTGCCTGCTGTGAGGCTGACCCTCTTGTTTTCCTGCTCTTAATGGCTGTAGAACTAAGTTATTCAGAAAGGGAAAATGAAAAAAAGTTGTCCTTTATTGTAGATTTTATTTCTCATCTCTTCTATTCAGTACCAATAGTAGTCTTTTATAAGCTGTCCATGTTGGAGATTGTATGTGTGTGCAACAGATATTTTCCCCTGTTCTCTCCACCGAGAAAGCCTTGGAGGAGCAACTCCTTCTCTAGCAAGGAGTACAAGCCCAAGGCATGGCTTCCAAACATCATTTTCCACTAAAAAGGTTAAGAGGAACAGGGTATCTGTAGAAAAATGGTTAATTCTAGAGCTAGGGCATGGAAAATATCATGTGAGCCTGTTTGTACTGTAAAGAAATGCTCAAAGAATATAGGACTTATGAAAATAATTTATTTTTGTCATTCACTGGTCAAATCTTGAGCTGTTTAAGGCTCAGATGAATAAATGAACCACTGACTAAAAAATAAATTATCTAGCCATGCAGATATAAATAAATGAATACATTGAAACCTAGATGAAAAAGAGGATGTTTCTATAGTTTCAAAATACCTCTTCCACCAAGTAGTTTTCCCACAAAATACATATCAATGGAGAAAGGAGCAAGTTCACATGGAAAACCTGGCAAAAGGCAACCAGGGAGTCAAAGTTCACAACACTGAGATGAATCCAAACTGCAGCACTTGAGACGCAATGGGAAGAATGTACCATTGCCTCTGCCATGCTGCGGCCAGATTCCTAACAAGAATCTCATCATGGGAAGCAACAGATAAATGGAAACTGATGGACCTGTCGCAAAATAGCTGTCCTTTAACCCTGCAATGTGTCATGTAAGTACAAGAAAAGCCCGAGTGAGGGAGATTAAAGAGACAGGGTAACTGAATGCAGTGTGCGATTCTGAACTGGATCGTTTGCCGTAAAACCATTCTCGGACATTTGGAAATCTTGGAAGTGTCTGAAGATTGGTAATGTCTTATGTTAACTTCTTGACTTTTAGCTGTAATTTTGGACAATGGTTCTTGTTTGTAGTAAATATACACTAAAGTATTAGAGGGCAATTAGGGCACAGAATTTGGCATTATAATCCCAAATGGTTCAAAAGGAACGTTCTTTGTGCTGTCTTTGCAATTTTTCTTTCAGTTTGTGATTGCCTCAAAGTTATATTACATCCACAAATACAGTAACTCTACCAAAATGTGAATGGCTTTTCAAAATTTCCAATATACCTCCATACATATTAATTAGTCATTATAAAAATACAGTGAAGTATGAGGATGATTATTATTACTTATATATTCTATTATATATATTATATATTATAGATGAGGATTATTGTCCAGAGAAGTTAAGTGGCAAAGACCACACATTTTGTGGCTAAGCAGGAAGGAAGAAGGAGAGGCAAAGTCCCAGGGATCTTGCTGGGGAAAAAGCTGTGGGTGAGGATGTTAGGATAAGTATGGGGGCAGGGTAGCATCATGGCATCAAGATAGCTGCTGGCAGAAATATTTCAGAGGGGAATAGATGGAACAAGAGGACTCACCAGCTCAGAGAATACTTACTGGAGATCACTAACTAGCAATGGCTTTAGTTGGAGCTCAGAAGGTTTAATTTGGTTCTATACATAATTTGTCAATCACCAGAGAGGACTTGGTGATTCTGAAAACACCGGAAAAACAGGTTAAGAAGAAAGATGGTGTAAGCCTGATGAGAAAGAGTTCACAGAGAGTGATTAATGGAAAAATGGGAAATGAGAGATGGAACAGAAAGGTGGAGGAGTGGTGGGGTTGCCTGAAGATCTGTTTTTTCAAATGAAAGTATCCTGTGTGGGTTTGCTTATAAAAGACAAAGATTCGTGAACGGGGAAAGGCTGGAAACACGTGGGGACCATAGACGACGGTCACATAACCAAGGGCACTGAACACTTCTGGGGAGTGTTGGGCAGCCACATTAAAGGGAGAAGAGCCACGATCAGTGGCGGAGGGCCCAAGGGCTTGGGCTGTGAGCTGGCCTGCCTGGATTCTTATTTGGATTCTCCCATGTTTACATGTGACATTTGGGCAAGTAAGTAGAAACATATTTCTTTTACCTCTGTATCTTTAAAATGGTAAATCATAAAAGGACTACAAAGGATATGAAAGAATATATGTAAGAAGGCTAGAAAGTTCCTCACATAGTGGCAATAAATGTTCACTAGCATTATTTTAGCTAATGTACAGATGTCTGAAAACCTTTCTTCACTAGTTGAGAGGTAATGAGCAATTGAATCAAGTTATGGTAGAGAGATTTCAAGGAGGAGCTACATGTGAGACTTATGACAAACTAAAATATGGCAGGGTTGATACCATGTTTATACTAAAATATGGCAGCTGGTGAAAGCCTGGGAGTAAGACAGTGGATTTATGGCAGTGGCTAGAAGTTACTGTCATTCATTAAAATGGGAAATGTGACCTGAAGATAATGAATTCAGTTTTGAGATGCATTTGGTTTGAAGTGCTTTGTATGTCTAGATGGAGATGCCCTGTAAACAACTGGATAGAAGAATCTGATTTGATGGAGAGATCTGATTGGCTATAAATTTGCTAAACCTTGGAGCTAGATGAAATAATGGGAAAGAAAGTAGAACTACAGAGTTGAAGGACATGAGACAGGTTGTCACAGAGTCTATAAAAATTCATTTTGAAATAAAGAAAGCCAAATAGGGTGCCCTTGTGGGTTTGGATAAGGCAGATCTCCAGTTAAGGTCAAGGAAAAGACATGGGATTCTGGTTGATATTATCAATTGGCCATTGATAGTGCAGAGGAATGTTTTGGCTATGTGGTGGGAAATTTGGGGAACTTAAGATACAACTTCCTTCAGTTTGACCCAGGCACTAGGCCTTTGTAATTGATTATATTCACACATGACTGCCATAATACTTTCCATTGCCCAGAGCTGAACAGAAAGCCTAACTGGGAGGAACTGTTGCTACAATCAGCATGGTTTATGTCTGATCCTGTCTTTAGTTGATTGTTATGCCTCAGAAGTCCTGGTGAGGCACTTCTATGTGCCTCCCTGACAGATGGGAATGAGTGTAGTTAACCAATGTTTTGGGTATGTGCATCACTATTAATGATAGCAGGATTTTCTGTGAAGAGTGTCTAGGCATGAGGTGAAGAGGATAAAATGTCATTGCATCTCCAGAAAGGGAATGGATTAATGCTGAAAACTTACCAATTGCTTATGCAAGTTAAAAGTTTGTTAAATTTCACTCTGGATTTGTGTTCATCTTATGATAATGAAGCTTTTCCTTTTCTGATTCAGCTATCCAGAGGAAGAACAAATCCATTTAATAACCCAGAGTAACTTTTATCTCTGATCAGATGACTCGGGAGCAAAACAAAGAAGTAAAGTGTAGAACTTTGTGTGTGCCTTATATCACATTGCTTCTATAGAAGACAGAAAAATTTGTAGTTGCCTAGGGAGAATATGAAATGAAAGAAAATGTCAAGAACTTAATCTATAAAATATGTTAATATTTTGAATATACAAATAATAATAAAATTTAGGCCACAGAGTTAGAATTCTGTGACTGTACACATTTAATACAAAATAGGGAATTCAAGAAAATTCCAGATAATCACAGAAAAAAAAGTATTTTACTCACTTAATTTTTGGCCAAAATTTCATTCTGTATAAAGCTTTTGATTTTTTTTCATTTTGCTTTTAGTATATAATATGTACTTTAATATATAGTTATAACTATATGATAGTGTGATTCAGGTATTTATTATTTGGTAACAAACTACTCCAAAATGTAGTAGTTGAAGTAAATATTTATTTCTCTTATAACTTAGTGGGTTGGAATTAGGGAGGATGAAGGCTCATTTCTGCCCAGGTGCTCCCACTTGGGTGCCTGGGGCTGGATGTTCCACTTTCAGGTGGGACCTTCTTTCATGTCTGGGATGTTGGTCTTCTTTAGTACCTCTTCCCTCCCTCCTCATTGTGTCTCAGCCTTCAGACAACCTTTCTCAGAATAGTGACATCAGGGAAGTCTTTTGGTTTAAAGAAGCAGGAAGCAGATAATTCCAGGCCTATTGAAGATCATGCCTACTCCCAGCACAGCATCCATCACTTCTGCCATATTCTATCCGCCAAAGCAGACAGATGGGTTGCACAATTTGAGAAAACAAAGAAATAAAGAAATCATCTCCAGGTGATTGTTATACAGTGCATACCAAAGTTATTGGAGGGCATTTTTGAGCATGCCTTTGGAGACAGAGAGACTTGGTTTCAGATCTGGTTCTTTCTGGCAATGAGCTGTGTGGCCTAGAGAGTTTCCTAATCTGCAAGTTGTGTCTAATGACAATGCCTGCTTTACTATGTTGTTTCTGAAAATAAAATACATACCACATGTGAAGCCTATAGCATAGTGTCCAGGACATTGTGAGCAACATTAATAATAAAAATTTAGTGAATTAATGGGTTTCATTCACAGAACAGGAGAAATGATACTCTTGATCTACGCTGAGGCTTCATCTACATGAATATCCTGGACCTGAATTGTGGCCACAATTAGATTCACCAGTGCGTCACTGGGCCGAAGGTGGATGTACATTTTTTCCCTAGAAGCCTTCAGATGTGAACCTGTCCTGTATGTTTAGGAGGTTGAATTGTTCCATGTGTAATAGGGAACCAACTTACTGGTCAGTGAGTAGCTTAAAGCTGGCAAGAACCTCAAAATTGTTTGGACCAGTTCAGTGAATTGGTGGGTACAATTTGGGTCTTAAGACTCTTGTGTTTCATGGTTAGGCGAATGTCAAATAAAGTGGTACCTTGGGTCACAAAATTAATTTGTTCTACAATTTTGGAAAAGGTGGCCAGGGTCATGTTTGTTATCTGATGCAGAGTCTGACAACAAAAACAAAATTTTGTCAACCTGTTCTGTTTGTGAACCAAATTGTTTGCAAACAAAATCATTCATGAAGCAAAGTACCACTGTGTATGCTAAAATGACCTGTATGAATGTAGGGCCTGATGTTCCATGGCAGGGCATCTTGTTCTCAGCTAAAGAAGAAACTGAAGCATACATTTACTAACAGTTTTTTGTTGTACTAGATTTATAGTTAAAATATTAAGCATGGACTACTGTGAATTAATTCTGAGAAACTCAAAAGCTGAAAAATTTTCATGTTTTATACTTCACCAAAACCTCAGAAGAGACTCTTCAAGTATTTGATTCGGTTCTGTATGTCAGCCGCTGTGGGTATGTAACATCTGAAAAGTGGGCAATGTGTGTTTGTGACAGTGAAAGAGCAGAAAAGTGGTCAGAAGAGGAAAAATACACAGGTCCTCCTCCTCACATCTTGCTGTAGTCCAATGGAACTCCTTCTTGAACAGCCCAGGAAGATGTCCATTGATAAAATTAGAATGAAATTTGTACATGCCTTGTGAATTTTCTGTGTGTTGTCCCTTAAGAAAAAAATCAACTGCACACATTGAAAGTTCTTCTAAGGCACCCAGGGCTTTGTGGCTGGCACTGATCTTTATTTACCTAGCTAATAAAGTTCCAAAGCATTCCTAATTAACTAACTTCTTTATCTTTCTGTTATCTTTTTCCTCTCCTCTTCCTTTTTATATTTTTCAAATGTACCTCTTCATATTTATTTCTCCCCTCATCTACCCATTTCATTCTGATCTCCACCTATCCCTCTTAATAGTACGGAGCCTTGGTATGAATGACAACTCAACAGTTGCCATTTGTTAAGCATTTAAAAATGTGTCACATTATACAACTTCCTTTCTTTTTTCTTCCTTCCCGTTTCCTCCCTGACAGAATGTTTTTGTTTTATATTTGGAATCACAAAGATACGTTTGTCTCTTTTTTGTCAGAACAGCGAACACAGTCATGAGAGGGTTCTCTCCTTTTGTTCCCATGTTCAAAATGTAGGAGGAAGAAGCCATTTGGGAGCAAAGGACAGATATAGACATGCTCACTTCTTCTCAGGAGCCATGTCTAACAGAGTTGATTAATACGCTGTTTTATTTCATTGTAAATATTTTGTGACCAAGAAAGGGAGAAAGGGCTCAGATCATTCCCTTCATCCTGCAGTGGCTGTCCAGATAGCCATGGGCTTTAGAGGCTTAGGGAACACTTGTGCTAAGAGTTCTCTGATTGCCTGTTGGACCTTGCTTGGGCCCGCCAAGAGTTGAGAATTTGTTGGTGGAAGTAGACAGAGGTGCCCTTCCTCTGTGCCATGCACAAGTATGGGTATTTTCAGTCTTTAAAATCAGACATCACACCTTAGTATCATACAGATGTGAAAACTCAAAAAAAAATTCTGTCAAAAAAATATTCTGCTTTTCTCTGAGCCCATCCTCAGTATTTCTTTCAGGACAGGTATTTTATGAGACAGCACCCCTAGGAAATACACTGAAATCTCTTCTATATAAGTATGAATTATAGAACTAACAAGAGGTTTTTGTTTTATCAAAAGCTTTAAAAACCAAATCAGAGGAGGTAATCTTTTCAATAGCTTTTTGGAAATGGTAAAATTAAGTGGATTTAAGGAGTTGTGTTTTCCCTGCTATTGCCGGAGTACAACCCACTTCTCTTTAAAACTTTTTTCATATCTGTCAGGAAGGGACATAAGCATGACTCCAGAAATACATATTCCAGGGAAAGACATAAATTCACTTCTAAAGAGTCAGAAAGTAGAAGGAAGCTGAAACGAAGGTGGCCCGAATGAAATGAATGAGAAACCACTCCTAACACAGTCTTGCTTAGGACAGACTGGTGACATGATTGATCCTTTTGGAGGCTAAATTTTGGAGGCTAAAAGAGCCTGGACTCGAAAGGGGAGGAATAGGAGGAAGGGACATAATTAACATGAATTATGCCAGGAGTTTTCCACCTGTTACTTTTAGCTAACGTAGCCCATATACAAGGGGTGACCAAACTAGAGTAAATGACACATTGCCATTAATCCCCCTCAAATACCCTCCTTCACTTTGAACACACTTATAACATTGTTCTTGCCAGTTTCTGAAGCAGTTCTGGAAGTCCTCTTTTGTGGGTGTCTTGATCAGATGTGATCAAATATATGATGATGAATGCTATTGCTGAGTCCCATCCAACTGAAAGGCAGGCTCAGTGTGTTCCAATTCAACCTATTCACCAGATCTGGCCCTGTACCATTTTTGGCTCTTCCTTAAAGTCAAAATAACCATGAAAGGATTTGAATCAATTCAGGACATTGAAACAGCCAGGATGAGGCAACTAAAGACACTCAGAAAGAAAGACTTCCAAAACTGCTTCAGAAAGTGGCAAGAATAGTGGGACAATTGTGTTTGAAGCAGCTGGGGGTATAATAAAGGAGATTAATGGCAATGTGTCTTTTATGGTAATATATTTTTAAAATTTAACCATTCACTGTAGTTTTTGAATATACCTCATAGTTATCCAAAATGTAGAATCAGTGAGGTCACATTGCTGCAACATGGCTGAAGCAGGATGTGAACACACATCTGTCTCATGAGCTTGTGTTTATTCTACTGCAGCACCTTGGTGCTTCATTGAAGTGAAGGTGCTTAAAACTTCTTAAGTTATTGGAATCATTATGTCATTGAGGCAGGTAATTTTCTCCTTCTAGTTCAAGCCCAGAATAGTTCTCACCTGTTCCTCTTACCTATGTATGACACCCAATGTACCAGGCTTACCTATTATTGATAAATGTTTAAGCTTGATTATATCTCACCTAATTTTGCTAACACATATGAGCGTGAGCTTTCACATGGTTTTATGTATTTCTAGATCTAATGATTTACTCTCCTACAGAACTTTCATATATTTTATAGGCATTCTCAGGGGGAAGAGGATTTTAAATTTAGTTGTTGTTTTATGTATTTTGATTCATCAGAAATTCCTCAAAAGTGGAAATGACTGTACTAATCACATCCTACAGGAACTGTTACCTAAGCAGCTATCTACTTGAATTCAGTATTGAGTGTCTACTCTTTTTTGATAGATCATCTTCATTGTGGTCCACTCGGATTCATGATATAACAGCTCAAACAAGGAAGTGCAGCTGTTTGCTGGAATCTATGCTAGGCTCTATCCATATCATGTAGTTACTCAATAATGACACCCTGTCACTTAAAATGGGATTTTGCATGAGTGCTTCATAAACCAAATTACCCTCTTGAAGGCAGCTTATTTCCAGACCCATATTCAAAAAGTACGACACAAGAAAGGACACATTAGAAGTCCCACTACCTTGATTTCATTTCTGGCTTTGCCACAGTTTACCTATGATTACAGATGGTAGAACATTAAAGTGACCCACTTTCCAGTTTTTGATGATTATCCACTTTCTTGTGCAGAAAGGGGCTGACCAAGGAGCCAGCATTTTCTCATCTACAGGTCCAAGAATGAATCAAGGGTCTGGGAGTTAATTTTCACAGCTGAGAAAACAAGGGTGGCTAAACATGTTTATGACATTCATAGTCTTGGACTTCTTGCCACACCCATGTTGCTATTAAACACATGGTGTGATCTGTCAGCCTGCGCTGTGATACACTGAGATCGGAGGAACCAACAAGCACTCTGAAATCTTAATTTCAGGAAAAAACTCCAGTATCTATTTTAGCAACACAAAACTCACCATTTGGACTTGACTGGGCCCTTAACCCTCTACTCTTTTTTTTTTTTTAAGAATATTAAATTCTTTTATTGGTACATTGTAGGTATACAACACAATTGCATTTCTCA